ATACTCTTCTTTTTTATATAACATATATATAAAACATACACACATATTTATTGGCTGAAATATCGATGTTCCCAAATAACAGATAACAATACTTCCATTACTTATTAATTCAGAAACATTTATATAAACATACATACATATTTAGTACTGAAAAATCGATAGTTCCAAAAACTATAATAGATGGCGTAGTTTTTTTTAAACATATAAATAGGAAAATTCCAATAATATTTCTTCAGTTTTGTTAATTTCATGCTGCATCACTGAAAAATCTCGTTTACACAAAATACTCTTCTTTTTTGATATAACATATATATAAAACATACACACATATTTATTGGCTGAAATATCGATGTTCCCAAATAACAGATAACAATACTTCCATTACTATTAATTCAGAAACATTTATATAAACATACATACATATTTATACTGAAAAATCGATAGTTCCAAAAAAATATAATAGATGGCGTAGTTTTTTTTAAACATATAAATAGGAAAATTCCAATAATATTTCTTTAGTTTTGTTAATTTCACGCTGCATCACTGAAAAATCTCGTTTACACAAAATACTCTTCTTTTTTGCTGATCGAATATTTATATAACATATATATAAAACATACACACATATTTATTGGCTGAAATATCGATGTTCCCAAACAACAGACAATAATACTTCCATTACTAGTTACTTCAGAAACATTTATATAAAGATACATACACATTTTTTCTGAAAAATCGATAGTTCCAAAAACGTATAATAGATGGCGTAGTTTCTTTTTAAACACATAAATAGGAAAATTGCAATAATATTTCTTCATTTTTCTTAATTTCACGCTGCATCATTCGTTTACACCAAAAACTCTTCGTTTTCAATACAATTCATTGCATTATATAAGGACACCAATTTATAATAGTTGCAATGCTATCATCGTTTGGAACTGTTCCAGTATCCTCAGAAATCACATTATTTGTTACCTAATAAAATGCATTTAGGCCGCATCCCTTCCTTCTCCCCCCTTTTTAAACGGTTTAATGCTTTTACGTGGATGTTGAAACGCCTCATTTACGATTTCTTATTTACAGCTTTCCATTTTATTCCTCTGCCTCTCATTTTACGACGCACTTAATTTTTTTATATATTGTTAATATCAGAAAACTCTTAAATCTTTGCAGAGAGAAAACAGGAATTTATAAGAACACGATAATAAATTATGCAATATTTACGTCCAAATTAAAAAAAATTCTTTACAAATTATTAAACACAATAATAAGAAATTTAGTTGTTATAATTCAATTGGTTTCTTTAAAGTTTCAATCAAAACTTTCGCAGCAACTAAGATACGAAAATTATTAAACATTACCAAACAAAATCACAATTGAACATTTGCATGAACACCTGCGTTTTAATTGAACACCTGCACGAAACACGTGCGTTTTAGTTGCAGCTGCAAAATTATAAAAACACCTGCGGATATCTTAAACACCTGCATGAAACATCTGCGATTTCGTTGCAGCTGCAAAGATAAGAAAATTATTAAATATTGCACAACCAAAATCACAATTGAACATCTGCATGAACACCTGCATTTTAATTGAACACCTGCGAAACACGTGCGTTTTACTTGCAGCTGCAAAATTATAAAAACACCTGCGGATATATTAAACACCTGCACGAAACATCTGCGTTTTCGTTGCAGCTGCAAAGATAAGAAAATTATTAAACATTGCCAAACAAAATCACAATGCAACATCTGCATGAACACCTGCGTTTTAATTGAACACCTGCGTTTTAATTGAACACCTGCGTCTTAATTGAACACCTGCGTTTTAATTGAACACCTGCGTCTTAATTGAACACCTGCGTTTTAATTGAACACCTGCGAAACACCTGCGTTTTAGTTGCAGCTGCAAAATTATAAAACACCTGCGGATATATAAGATAAGCTGCTGAAAAGATAAGAAAATTATTAAACATTGCCAAACAAAATCACAATTGAACACCTGCGTTTTAATTGAACACCTGCGTCTTAATTGAACACCTGCGTTTTAATTGAACACCTGCGTCTTAATTGAACACCTGCGTTTTAATTAAACACCTGCAAAACACCTTCGTTTTAGTTGCAGCTGCAAAATTATAAAACACCTGCGGATATATTAAACACCTGCACGAAACATCTGCGTTTTCGTTGCAGTTGCAAAGATAAGAAGAATCTGCGCTTTATTATATAGTTATAGTAGATATAAAACTATATTTACCGACTTATATAAGTAATGATGGATGCACCAATTTGAAAAATAATATTTCTCAATAGAACGTTAGAAGTAAGGAAGAAACAGTAGCAGTATTAGATGGATATAAACGTATCTAAATTAGCCGATTTCGTTGGCAATTGTAGGCGAGTATTCAGCTTTAATCCGCATTTAAATGACCGTTTATTGTGGTTCCTGTTGCTATGTTCATACAGCAACTTATCCATTAAATAGAGAAACGCCTGGCAATTATAGAAATATTATTGCGGATGCGCCGGGTTACATTCGCTAAACTCCAACATTCCGAAACGAATAATCCCGTCCCTCGGCGATCGCATTAATTATTCAAAACGGCACATAATAAGACAGCGGACAACGAAGGCAAATGCAAATTCTCATCTTTTTTTACCATTTTTTTTTTTGTTATCGTTGGAAACTTTGCAAAAAGATGTTTCTTTTAAATGTATCCCCCAGACGCAGCAGAGCAAAGAGAAATAAGACTAAACGCAATGGAGATTTCTCCGACAGCATTAAGAAAAGAAAAAAAAACGAGTTAAGAATAAAGAAACGGAACGGAAAGAGGATAAATAAATAAATGTTAAGATGGATGCGAATATATAAAGAAAACGGTGCCTTTCATCAACATATTTTCGCTCGATGCGAACGCAGCAGGGGTTTTGGCGCAGTACATTTTTCCTTCTTCTTTTGTTTTATATCTTGTTGCATTCGTTTGTTTTCTCGAGAGCAAGTGAAAAAAAAAAGTTTCATCCTCTCTTTTTCTTTCCCAAATGACAAATTGGATAAACGCAATTTTAAATTTCGCAGCCAACTGCAGGAATTCTAATTTCTCTCTGCTCTTTCTGCTCTGCGCTAGAGATGCACTTAAAGTATGCCCGAAGAAAGTATGTTTCGTAATGAAATATTTTCACCGTGAAAAGAGGGAACATTGAAATCGTGCAATATGAAATTAGTCTTCAGTTAATATAACTTTCTTTCATTTCTCTTTTGTTGAATAAAAAAAAACATTTACAAATATGTGGAATAGCCTTTTTTTATCATCCAGCTTTGGGAAGTGTTATAGCCCATCCGAGGTAAACTCAAGATGGGTAAGATTATGAAAAGTGGTAAAGTCGTACTCGTCCTGAGTGGACGGTACGCCGGAAGGAAGGCCATCATCATGAATAACTATGAAAAAGTACATAAAGTGCATAAGCGTATGGGCAAAATCAGGATCCACAAGCGTTCCAAGATCAAGCCTTTCATTAAGGATTGTAGTTCAATACAGGTAAAATCTACGAAAGTCGTAAATAGATTCTTGGAAAGCCTGAATATTTATTTTCAAATGGAATATTAACTTATTTTTGTGTTATGTGTGATGACTGAAAAAAATGATAATATCTGACGACACTAGAATTCTAAAAGTTTTAATTTTCGAAACTTTTTCTACTTTTAACAATTAATTACAGGTAATATTTACAAATGTCGTAAATAGATTCTTGGAAAGCCTGAATATTTATCTTTAATTGGAATAGTAAATTATATTTGTGTTATGTGTGATAACCGAGAAAAATGATAATATCTGACGACACTAGAATTCTAAAAGTTTTAATTTTCAAAACTTGTTCTACTTTTAACAATTAATTACAGGTAAAAACTACAAAAGTCGTAAATAGTTGTTTAGAAAGCCTGAATATTTATCTTCAATTGGAATATTAACTTATTTTTGTGTTATGTGTGATGACTGAAAAAAATGATAATATCTGACGACACTAGAATTCTAAAAGTTTTAATTTTCAAAACTTGTTCTACTTTTAACAATTAATTACAGGTAAAAACTACGAAAGTCGTAAATAGCTTCTTGGAAAGCATGAATATTTATCTTCAAAGGGAATATTAACTTATTTTTGTGTTATGTGTCAAAACTGAGAAAAATGATAATATGTGAAGACATTATTTTTTTGATACTTTTCAATTTTCACAATTAATTGAAGGTAAATCGTAATACCTACAACAATCGAACATTGTAAATGTTGAATCTCTATCTTTAATAATAGCATTAACATATAATTGTTTAATTTATAATAATGGAGAAAACCCATAAATTTCAATGCTTATTTTTTTTAATTTGTCAATTAATTATAGAAAACCCGAATCTCATAGTTAATTAGAAAGGCTGAATATCAATTTTGAATTACAATATTAATTTATACATGTGTTTTATGCAATAACCGAGAAAACCGATAAATCATAAACAAATAACCGATAGAATTTAATATTTTCCACATTCATTGGATTTCTTCCACGAATCCACAGTTTTCTGCACATTTACATTCAAACGTACAATATTTTTATTTTCTTGCTGCATTTCCAACACATCTTCCAATGATAGGTATTGCGACATCAAAAAGATATTCCTGCGGGTTTTCGAGAGAGTTCCCTGCGAATAATAACGCTTTGTCGTCGTCGTCTGGATATTCCTTGCTTCAAGTACATCGAGAGGGAAACTTCTCTCGCGCGATTGCCTTAAACCCGAAATCGGGGGAAAACACAAATAACGGGAGCTTCTGGCTCCTGCATTGTTTGCACACATACACATATACAAAGCGAGATGGGGTGGCAGCAGAATAAATAAGCATATATAGAGAGAGAGAGAGGGAGAGAGAGGGAAAGATATGTAAGTGTAGGAGTGTAGAAGAGAGAGATATGGATGGGAAGATAGGAAACTATCCAAGAAAATTTGTCAGATTCCTCTCGGCCCCAGCCGGAAGCAACATATATATGTGAACCATTGTTGCTAGCGAAAACTACTCACTGCGAATGGCACGAGTATTTGCAGAGGGGTCAAAACTATAGTATTCATAGACTGCAATGCACAATAGTTATACGAAATAGTGAACATTCGATTATGTACAGCAAACCAACAAATCATATTCTACAATCTAAAAAGAGTAATATAGAATTGAAGAGGAAACAAATCTAATCCTAAGCAATTTTTATACGGAATAATATTTTGTATTTATACCTTAATTAGCAATTGTTTCTGTAAAATTAGATTATTTTATCGATAAAACTAATTCTATAAATAAAATTATGTTATGTTATGTAATTAATTATGTTCACACATACAAATTCATTTAGCATAAATTCCACAAATATATCTTCAATTATATGTAATTAATTGATTAGTAATGATACAAAATTTAGATTTAAATATATTGATTTAATATTTTACTTAAAATTAACATTTGTAAATTCATTTATTTCATTTAATTAAATGTAAATTGTTTAAACTTAAAAAAAGGTTAGCTATGAAATGTTAATCGAGTGAAACAAATTCGTGATAAACGTCAAAAAATGGTGACATAACAAAGATTCGATCGAGCGTTGTTGCATATTAAATTGCATCATGTGAGTTTAAACTTTGAAGGATGTTTTGTTTAGTAACGGCACAAAATTAATATTAATTTGATTTAATTTAATTTTTTAATTGTTATTAACATTTGTAAATTAAATTAAATTTACGTTTAGATTTCTATTATTTAATTAAATGTTAATTTGTTTTAAACAAAAAAAAAATAATGGTTAGCTATGAAATGTTAAAGATAATATTAATTTTGTATCGTTATTAAACAAAACATCATTCGAAGTTTAAACTCACATGATACAATTGAATATGCAACAACGTTCGATCGAATCTTTGTTATGTCCACTTTTTGACGTTTATCGACGAATTTGTTTCAACTCGATTAACATTTCATAGCTAACCATTATTTTTTTTTTGTTTAAAACAAATTAACATTTAATTAAATAATAGAAATCTACACGTAAATTTAATTTAATTTACAAATGTTAATAACAAGTAAAAAATTAAATCAAACATTAATATTAATATCTGTTAATCTAATCAAAAATATTTCAAAGTTTAACTCACATGATACAATTTAATATGCAACAACGTTCGATCGAATCTTTGTTATGTCAACACTTTTTGACGTTTGTCACGAATTTGTTTCACTCGATTAACATTTCATAGCTAACCAATATTTTTTTTTTGTTTAAAACAAATTAACATTTAATTAAATAATAGAAATCTACACGTAAATTTAATTTAATTTACAAATGTTAATAACAAGTAAAAAATTAAATTCAAATAATATTAATTTTGTACCGTTACTAAACAAAACATCCTTCAAACTTTAAACTCACATGATACAATTTAATATGCAAGATAACGTTCGTTATGTCACAGTTTTTGAGTTTATCACGAATTTGTTTCACTCGATTAACATTTCATAGCTAACCATTATTTTTTTTTTGTTTAAAACAATTAACATTTAATTAAATAATGAAATCTACACATAATTTAATTTAATTTACAAATTTAATAACAATAAAAAATAATCAAATAATATTAATTTTGTATCGTTACTAAACAAAACATCATTCAAAGTTTAAACTCACATGATACAATTTAATATGCAACAACGCTCGATCGAATCTTTGTTATGTCACCACTTTTTGACGTTTATCACGAATTTGTTTCACTCGA